TGGATCGTTTATTCTGTCGTCTTCAGGTTAAACACCTATTCGGTTTGTTAAGACATGAAAATAATCAAATTTTTATAAACTCTACAAAGATGATATTTTATCCTAAATTATTAACTGTGCATGCAAAGAAAAGATTTAAAAACAATTTAAGTTTTAACCCTGAGAAAGAAAAGACTTCGTTATTTGGTTATTTATCTTTTATTGATAATCTTTCATTTTGTTTAGTTCCTTCTATTGGTATAAATTCGATTTATATAATAGAAGGTATTTTATGTTGCGCGAAAAGTATCAAAACGATAGAATTATACGATATGTCTACAATTTTGATGCCTGATTCTGCAAAATCTGGAAAGATAGTTATAAGTGAAGAGTTGAACAGTATTCAAAAAAAATTACGAAACTTATTTGTCAATAATCATGATATAAATTTAAAATTACCGGGGAATCACCATTTGATATTTTTTTTTCGCACAGAATGATGATTATGATAAATTATTTGATAAGAATGAAAGTTGGGCAAGAAAGGTGACTATCAATAATTATCATAGGTCACTTTTACATCTAGGATTCACGTTTGATCACGTGGAATATTTGGAGATAACTAATAATAATATGAAAATCTGTTAACTTCGTTTGATTTCCCTGACATCAAAACACTCAAATTAGATCTTTCATATTGTGTATTTAACTTGATTTCACAACAAATTTTGAATCAAGTTCATAGCAAACATCCTAAACTCGAGAGGTTTATATTGTATGATTCAGGGCATATTAACAAGTTATTTAAACTTGTTGATATATGTTTAGACTGGAATATTAAAAGGGGTTTTATCATAAACAATGGTCGGTCTTTAGGAGATAAACAAGCTCATTATAAGACGAAGGTCAGTAGTTTGAAATATAAGGAAATGAAAAGTGTGATAGAAATTATTAACAATAAGATTTTTTCAAATGTACAAATAAGCAAGGATTCACCAAATGAAAAGATGTTAGTAGAATTGTGGTATAAAGATGTTAGTAGAATTGTAGTACATAAATTATTTTAATAAACTCTCTTTGAAATCGCTTGTTTAATTAACAACGTAAAGGCGGCGCCCATAATATTAAACATATCGATATGAGTGACGGCAAGGGAAAACCTCGAACCGGCAATTATTTCGAATAATTATTATTCGAAATAATTGCCGGTTCGAGCCCGTCATTAATATGGTATTATTTTTCAAGATTTCTATACGTACGTACGTATTATTGTATTATACAATAGCAATTCACTGAATAAAAAATTGAGTAACAAAATAATACAACTAAATTATTTGATAATATTTATACTCTATTAATACGTGTAGAAATACCGTTCCCTAATGCGCTGAGATTGGAATTCTGTAATGTATAGGATTCAATAAATATAAGAATCACCAAATTCAAAAAAAAAAATTAGTCAACCAAACTTCGTTCAGATTACTTACAAAGATGAATCCAACAAATAGTGCTCGAAGTACTCAAATTCTAACTGAAAAAATTGAACTTGACAATAAATTAGATCCGCATATTTCGATTGAGGATCAAATTGCTCGTCGTTTTAAAAATATTAAAATATATGCTGTATCCGCAAAATACGATGACTCTAAAAAAACCGTCATTGAAAAACCTTATTGCCCAAATGGGTTTGCTGCCGCTATTCTTCATGCTTATAACTATCATAAACATTTACGTTTAAGTCCTGATGATGTTTGGCTTACAATTTCTCAAGGTGTTAGTCATCATATTAATTATAATCCTGTGAAATTTCGTGATAGATTCGTTCGACATGAAGAAAGAAAAAGATTGCTGTTTATGCTGGTGATATTCTATCTAATAATTATGAAGGTGATTGGCCTGAAGTTGTAAATAGACTTGTTACAAAAACTGATAGTCACGAAAACATCGATTTAATGGGTTTATTAGAATGCAATTTTTCAACAACTACCCCAACCTCCTTAACAGTCAGTCGTATTGTATTATTAGATGCCGTTAAAGCTTATTTTGAGTATGTAGTTTCTACTCTTTGTGGAATTCCAAAAGTTACACTTGAAGGAACCCTTGAAGATTGGATGAAACTTCAAGAAAAGGTCATTAATTTAAGAAAATTAAATTTAGAAGTAGATTTTTGGTTAGATCGTCTTGAACCTGTATTTGGAATTTAGTTGCTACTTATCGTGGTGATATTGATCATGATTTTTGGGGTAGAATTATAAAGATTAATGAAGTACATGGTTCTGGTGGTGGTGGTTTTGTCTCTGGATGGTTAATGAACTTCTTTCCTTATAATCGACAGGAAGACCTTTAACAACTGATAGTGAAATAAGAATTCAAAATATTCCAGATGGCATTGTTTGTGTTCCATTTCTTTTAGATGAGTTAAAATTAAAATTCATGGCTGGATTTATTGGTGCTAATCAAGAAATTCTTGAAGGTTTTGATGGTGAATCTGTTGTTTCTCCTGTGATTGGATGGTCAATTATTGATGACTTATGATAACGATAATGTGATACGAATTTTAATACAACGACAATTATAAATATAAATAACGTTATCCCACGTCTCAATATGATCGCATGATGGGAATTTACGTGTTATTTTTTCACATTTTTATCACCAAAATTATAA